ATGTGCTGGGCTAGGTGCTGAGAGTATAGTAATAGACAAAATTTCCTGCCTGTATGGAGCTTCCATTCTTGTGGGGAAAACAAAAGGAGTCAAGTTTTGGGCTTGAGCCACTGGGGAAGGCTGAGGCCAAACAGGCTTAGTATGCGGGGAGATCAGGAGTTTGTTCTTGATCATGTTTTGTTGCAAAGCCTCATTCATCCAAGTGGTGATGCTAAGTAGGGATGTGGGTTCGGTGGAATTGGCTGTCCTGTGGCCTCTGCTAGAACCTTATGGAGGTGGTGAGAGTACATATTGGGCTGCAGTGGGTTAGAAGTGGTAATGTTGATTTTTTATATTTTTTCTGCAGGTAGCTTGGATTTGAAAATGGTAACTGGAGGGATGCAGAGTTTGGGGAATCTCCTCTCACCAATATGTGACACATTTGACCATATTCTTACCATGCAGGGAATGGACCAGTAGAAAAAGGGTTATTGGTGAAACAAAGTCTGAAAGGGGAGGGAGAAGAGGAGTTCAGCTGTGAGTGGGTGGCGAGGTTTCCTCAAACCCAGGGAAGAGCTGGTCAGGAAAGGTCCAGATAAAGAGACAAGGTATGGAGTAAAAGAAGATTAAACCTAAGGAGATTGCTTGGTTTAGAAAAGAGAATGCTCCAGACTAGGAATTAACTTAGATTTCACTTTGATGCAAAACAGGATGTGATGTTGGCCAAATCACCTCCTATCCCTGAGTCCCAGTTTTCCCTTTTGCATCACTATATTGAATAAAATTGTCTCAAAGGCTCATGTTGGCTAACACATGCCACAGGTCTAAGCTAAATTTTCAGGGAAATTAGGAGTACCCCGGTGGCAAAAGAGTCATGTGTGCAATTTGATGGGACCATGTGGCTAGGATGTGGCAGGTGTGGTTGAAATAGGCAAAGGAAGGGGTGCCTGGGTGGTGCAGTTGTTTAAGCATCCAACTCTTGGTTTCGGCTCAGTTCATGATCTCAGGGTTGTGAGATTTAGCCCCCACGTTGGGCTCCATGCTCAATGGGGAGTCTGAGATTCTCTCTTTTTCTCTCCCTCTGTCCTTCTCTCCTGTGCTCTCTCTCTCTCTCAATAAATGGGTGAATCTTAAAAAAAAAATAGGCAAAGGAAGACATGTTGGTGGTCAGTATGATGTGTTGGTGGTTTTATTCAGGTGCTGCTGATGGGGCAATTTGCTTGCTGTGGGATGACACAGCAAGCCCAATACTTGGCTTGGTGGAGACAGGAACCACCAGCATGTCCCAGGAGACATTTTACAAGTAAAGGCTAATTTTACTTTTGCTGTTGATGGCATTTCTCAGCTATACTAATTACTATCCTGATAGAAACGCTGCAGAAATATACCCTGTGCTCCCAAGAGTGCAGAGGAGTAAAGAAGTTGTTCTTAAATAATCCAAGAAGAGGTTTTACCTGTGGATTCAAGCTACAGTGCTTCCTTAGTCATGGTTTTTTTTAGTGGAAGATGCTCTGGCTTAAACAGAATTTCTGTGTTTGCCTTACTTTTAGATTTCAGACTATGTGATCTATTTCCTATTCAATATCAATTGCAAATAAAATTATTGTAGGGAGGAAAATGATAGTTATGAGTTAAATGTTGTATATCAGGTTTTTTATAAAAGATTTCATTTATTTATTTGAGAGAGAGAGAGAGCATGAGCCGGGTGAGGGGTGAAGGGAGAAGCAGACTCCCTGCTAAGCAGGGAGCCCGATGCTGGGCTTGATCCTGGGACTGTGGGACTCTGGGATCATGACCTGAGCTGAAGGCAGACACTTAACCGACTGAGCCACCCTGCCGCCCCATGTATCTGTTTTTTAAAAAGGTATATTGTAAACTTGGGAATTATGTTTTGCTTTCTTCTCCTTCTCCTTCTTCTCCTTCTTTTGCTTTCTTCTTTAGTTCCTTAATAAATATCTGGCTGTCTCTCCATCCATCCATCTACTTATTAAAATAATATCCCTGAATATAGTAATTGTTTAGTAAATAGATGTTGAGTAAAATGCACAAGTATATACAGGGCCAAGACCTCTTGGGCTTTGTGAAGTCAGGAGGCCTGGATCTAGTCCTCACTCTGCCATAATTTGGCTGTGTGACCTTGGGAACTAGTTGCCAGCCTTATAAAACTGGGAGACTTCATGTAAAACCTGGCTTTCTGAATTTTTTCAACACTGGGCATGTCTGGTAGCCCTGAACCCAGTGAGCTGGAGTTAAATAGTTGTTGCTTACCTTAGCTGGGACGTTGTCTCTCCACGTTCCTCTAGGCCACACCTTGGTTGACAGGTATACATTCTTAGTTTGAAGGTTGAATGGAGAACATTTTCAAATTCAAGATGTTAATAAGAAATGAGCATCTTTGGATCTCAGAGACTTGGATGAAAATCCTGACCCTACTGTGAGAGGGGTGGTGGCATCATCTTAATACTCCTGGCCTGTAGGAGTTTATCAGCCACCCACCCAGTCTTGGAAATGGGAAAGGACCTCCTTTTGATATTTGGGGAATGAGAAATGGGCAAAGTGTGTCAGGCATTGGTTAATTCTTGAACGTCAAAGGCAATTAACACGATTATGGGTGATGGTGGAAGTCTGGTGCCTGGCCTGGAGTAAAAGGGATCAATCGTGTTTCCCAAATGACTGGAACAAAAAGGAAGAGAAAAGTATTAAAAATTCACCATAGATTAAGGTCTCACCCTTTATGCTAAGAAGGCAGATGCTGAGGCCCTTTTAGGGAATTTGCTTTGCAGGAGAGGAGCTGCCTTTGTTTGCTTTTCTGATGACTTGGATTTCTACAGCTGCTCATGGTTCTTGAACTTCCTGGAAAAAGTACAGGCAGATAGAATTGTGATGAAATCAGCATCCCAGCCCTATGTTTCCTAAGGACACTGTTGATTCCAATAGTATTTAGCTTAATTCCAGCAGCTGGCTTGGATTTTATATTGGGATAAATATGACAAGGGGTGTAGTGTGTATTTGTGTATGTGCGTGTGTGTGTAGATCCAGTGCTATAATTAGAACAGGATAACCATTACAAAAAATTGATGGTTATTTGATTTGGGGGAGAAATGGCTTTAATTTCCCCAAGTGTTTCCTTTTCTTGGTATTCTTCAAATGTGCATTATCTTTCAGATGACTAATAGGAAATTCAATACACTGGAGTACATTTTATAATGAACATTATTTGAAAAAAATTGAGCTTATTGTACACTTCCACCAGAAGGTAATATGAAGTTGTTAGGAGTTTGGGTGGGGTTTTGGTGTCTGAATGCTACTGTTCTTTCTGCCCCTATCCAGGGTCTGACCAAAAAGGGATATATACCTACAGCCCAGCAGTCAAAAGAGAAACATGGTATGGCTTTATTAATCCCTGAGGATAGGCTCAGTATCCCTCCATGCAGGGATTTTTTTTGACTAGTGAGAGAGCTTGCCATTCCCTCCCCATTAGACCTCTAGATGGCCATGCCTGCTGCTTGTTGACTCCATGTAGCCACCATGTTCAGGGGGAAATCAAGGTTAGCAAGAGGAGGAGGTTCTGCTGTGCTTACCACATGGATACCCAGAAGTGAAATGGTAAAGGAAGATGGGCAGGGCCCTGTCCGTCCAGACAGGGAAAGGCCCTGCCTGCTTTACTGGTCCCCGTAGCTGGAAAGTTGTGTGGATGTCCGAACTGTTGGGTGGATGGCAGAACTGCCTAAGAAGGCTGTGTTTTCAGGAGTGGTCACCGTGGGAGAGCAGGAAGCAGATGGGAGGTGTGGGGCCGCTTGCTCTTTTGGGGGTGCACAAGTGGAAAAGAGGATGTGGGGCATGGCTGTGTTCCTTTTGCTAGCATCCACATTCCAGTCAATGTCCTGGTCACTGATCAGTCATATTGGCACTCCTTTTTGGGAGTGGGGCCAATGAAGACTGTCAGAGAGGTGTAAGTCAAGGATGATGGACATTACCTTTTGATGTCTAACACCTTCATAAGAAATTGGGAAATAAGTTTTGTCACAAATTTCCACACATAATGATAAATGCTGCTAATGTGCCTATCAGGTTTTTTTTTCCCCTAGGCACTCCCATATTCTTGATTTTATAATTTGCCCTTTATCAGTAGCTAAATAGGTATTAGAATAACATAATAGTAATAACTCATATTTATTGAGAGCTACTGCATACTAGGCACATATATTGACTCCCTTGTTCCCCAAAATAACATAGTGAGGTAGTTGTCATTTCCATTCTCATTTTGCAGATGAGAACACAGAGGTACATAGCTAGCAAGTGGCAGAACAAGGACACCATCGTAGGTGGTCAGGCTCCAAAGTGCATATATACTTCTGTCTCTGGAAGAGGTGGGTTAACAAGAGGATGCTGGCCCAGGAATTGGGAGACCAGCATGTAGCTTAGAGCCTGGCTTGGCTCTACCACAAACCTGTTGTGTGAGTGACAGCATATTAATGAATTCCTCATTTTGAACCTCAGTTTCCCTGACTCTAAGGTGAGGATGTGATTTCTATTCAGGGTTTTTGGGCACAAGACTCACTGTATTAGCTTCCTGGGGCTGCTGTAATAAATTACCACTAACTAGGTGGCTAAATTTCACAGCAGAAATTTATTCTCTCACAGCTGTGGGAACCAGAAGTCCGAAATCAAGGTGTATGCAGGGTTGGTTCCTTCTGGAGGCTCAGAGGGAGAATACATTCCTTGCCTTTCTCTTAGCTTCTGTTGGCTGCCAGTAACCCTTGGCATTCCTTGGCTTGTAGACACATCACTCAGTCTTTGCCTCTGACTTCGCATTACCTTCTCCCCCTTGTCTCTGTGTCTCAAATCTCTGTCTGTCCTCCTCTTATGAGGACACTTGTCTTTGGATTTAGGGCTTGCCCTAAATCCGGGAAGATCTCATCTCAAGATCTATAACTTTAATTATATCTGCAAAGACTCTTTTTCCAAATAAGGTCACATTCACAGATTCAGGGGGTAAGGACTTAGACATATCTTTTTTTTTTTTTTTAAACATCTTAAATTTTTAATCCTTTCTTAACAGATTACCTAGACCACTTTTGATTAAGAAAACTGTACAAAGTTAGTAACTGCCACAAGCAAACGCCAGGCGGTGGCACGTGTCAATTTTCCACAGAGTCCTGCTTTTCGGGGTGTCTGAGTGCGTTGCTCGGGGTCTCTGCTCACACTCGCTGGGATTGGTCGCGGCAGAGTTTAGTCCACAGGTCGCTTCTCCCCGTATTTCCTTGTAAACTCTTCAGCGTTCTTACAGAAATTTTTTACGGTCCTTAGAGTATTCTTCAGCTAGGTCAGCCCGAAGTGGGTGCTCGGGCTGGGGGTCGTTCACCAGTGCTATGAGGGACTGGATTACTTGGTCGGTTTTGGTTGCTGGCTTCCAGTTTTCAGCACTAATTACTGGCAGACAGAACTGCCCCTCATTGATATTCGGGTGATAGATCTTTGTTTTAAATGTGATCTTCAGTGGTTTGAATGGGTACTCTGCTGGAAAGTTGATTTCGATTCTGAAGGCCCCTTATCATATGGAGGGTTGTCAGGAACAATAAGCCCTTGCCAAGTCAATAAATTAGCTTCATCAACCTGGATGTTACGGTTTTTCATTCCACATTTGTGGATTTCTTCAAGCTCCTTCATAAGCCTCCTGCTGGCCGCCATCTTGTATCTGATGCTGCTGCTTTCCCCAGGACTTAGACATATCTTTTTTGAGGCCACCGTTCAACCCACTACACTCACAATCCAGCTTTTTATCTGCTGCAGTATGACAATGACAAAAGATATTGGAAAGGAAAGGATTAAAGCTAGGTAATGGCTAACACCTCCTGGGCAGATTGATGCAGTGGGTAAGAACATAGTATGTGGAGTCAAGACCCCTGGTTTCAAGCAATGACTCTGCTACAATCAGCCGTGTGACCTTGAACAAGTCACTGAATGCTTCTCGGCCTGTTTTCTACTCTGTAAAATGGAGCTAGTAATAGGAACATTACAGGATTGTTAAGTGAATGACTGTAAAGTGCTTAGAACAAGGTTATATCAGTTTTAGCTGTTATTATTATTGTTGTTGCTGTTGTTACTTCCATTTAGAAGTTAAGTTTATGCCCATGATTTTAATAGAGAAATAAATTTTACTGGGATGCATTTAAAATATGGCAAGGAACAACCCACAAGTATGCTATTTTTCCACGATATTTTAAATTAGGATGTCCAAATGTGTCTGAAATGTGAGGATTATACTTTCCAGCGCGCTGAAACAATTTTTGGCTTAATCTTTTTAGACATCAAATAAGCTGAAAACGGAGCGTGGTTGTGCTCACGTTGGAAGAGGCGGGCAAGCAGATGGAAGGTGGCTGAGGGAGCATTTTGATGTGCTCATGGAGGAGGCGTTAATATTTCAACATCTTTCTTGTTATTTACAGATAATTTTTATGATAAATTTTCAGAGATGCTCAGTTTTTTTCCCTTTTCTCTGAGTAGCACAGAGTTGTAGCAAATGAATCTTTTAAATAAGAAGCTGAAGAACTTAGCAGTCTCCTGTGTGGAGACTGACTGCAGTTCGATTTTTGTATCTAAAATGAAGTTTAGTTTTCCGGATTCTGATTTTATTTTCTGTGATAATTCAGCGCCTTGCAAAATTTACCCAATAGCCTAGAGTCAGCAGGAGTGATTATTGGCCTAAGTTTTGTTTTAAAAATAGATGAGCTGATTGCTTTGTATTAATATGATATTCCTATTCTATTTTAATTAAAGAGGAGACAGAGTTGAATAGGAGAGTCCATAAATTCTTCAAAGGTGGATTTGTAGTGGAGGACAGATCTTCAAATAAACCATCACAACATAGTATATGATAGGTGCTCTGACTGAGGTGTGTTAATTGCTTCAAGTAGTCAAGGAGAAGTCTTCCGGAGGTGGATATACCTGCATTTAAATTTTGCCTCTAAAATCAAAATCAGCCACTTGGTCTCTCTTTTGAGTTTCTATTTTCCCAATAGTGAGGTTTAAATGAGATAATATACACGGAGTGCTTAGCATGAAGCTTGGCACATGGTAAGTGTCCAGTAAATGTTAGTCATCATTACTAGAGGAATAAAGTATGGGAAGAGCTGTCTATGGAGTAATTTTGTTAATTTATTCATATGGCTTGATATTTCTGTATCACATTGCATGGTACATTTAATGTGTGCATGCTTTATTACCTGTCTTTAAATCTTTCACCAAAGTTCATTTACTAAATTTATATTCTATATCACATGGACATAAAATCAGTTTGCTCTATATATATCCTGAAATTTGACATTTTGGATACAGCTTTGCATATAATTTTTTAAAAAGCCATCACTCTAATTACAGGCACTGATAGATACTTAGACACTTGAAAACGATATTCTGTTCCATCTATAGGGAACAGAGCCTCACTCAGACCAACTCGAGTAAATGAGGCTCTGTTTTAAGAAAATAAGAATCAGTTAATCATAGTGGTTAATAGTACAGACTTTTGAAGTCCCAGGTCTGCCCATTATAGCTTTATTATGACTTTGGGTAAGTAACTCAACTTCTGGGAGATGCATCTTCAGGTATAAGCACGGGGATAGTGATTCTTGCTTTAGTACGTGCTGGTGAAGACAATGTGAATTAGCATGGAAAGCCCCTAACGCAAACTACCGAGTAAGTGTTTAATAATGATATTATTACTCAAATGGTATTAAGAGGGCTAGATTCTTCCAGAAATCTGATGATAAGAACCAAGGTCTAGCTGGGGCTTGGAGTTGAGAACACATGGCCACACTAGAGGCAGAGGAATAAGGGTTTTAAATATTTACTCGGGCTCTGTTATTAACCTATCTTCTCCGCAGTTACTTTTCGGTCCCCGCGCACGTTTCTCCTCACCTCTAACTGGTTTGTTCTTTTCACTGTCCGGGTTAAGTTCCCTGCGGAATCTGACGGGCTCCTCTAAATGCCACGCCCCCTGGGTGAGCCGGAGGCTTGCAGTAGGCGCTGTCTCGCGTTGCGGGCTGGCCATGGATTGGATGTGCTGGGGTCACGTGCCAGCCTCTGGACCAATGAGCAAAAGCTGGTGGGTCTTGGCCGCCGAGCCCCCGCGCCTCCTCTCAGCTGACAGGGATCAGAGCACTGCGAAGGGTATTTGAACCCGCTGGTAAAGATTTTGGTGACTTGACTGGTACATCACATGGCTGGAAAAGTTCGTGAATCTGGAGGTGCGATGTGGCCCGGCTGGCCCGCGCGCTTTATCCTGTTCCCGTCCCTCTGTCCCTCAGCGACCGTCACACCCATGGCCCTTGCTTCTCGGGCATGGCCGCCGAGTGGTGCTTGGGGCCTCTGCCTGCATTGCTTCTCCTACCTTAACCCACTCCTCCCGCAGGAAGAGCGGGCTTCTGTCCCCCCAGGTTCTAGCTCCACGGCACCTCCTCAGAGAGGCCCGCTTTCCTGACGGTGTGTGAAGGAGCCTACCAGCCCTACTTCACCACCCCATTTAGTTCTGTCGCGCATTTAACCGGTTTCCTTGTTTGCTTATTCCCTTGTTACCTGTCTGGTAATAGGTACATCGAGTCTGTTCCTCGAATATTTCTAGAATGCCTCCATCGGAGCAGGGACTTGTCAGTACATTTGTTTTCAAAGAATGAGCATGAACTAAGGTATCTACCATGCAAATACAATAAAGGAGCTATGGCTGCCCTGGCATTGTGACCACTATAAAGTGTGTGAGAGAGAGAGAGGGAGGGAGAGAGAGAGAGAGAGAAGGAGGGAAGGAAAGGAAGGAGGGAAGCAAGGAGAGAAGGATGGAAGGAAGGAAACAAGAAAGAAAAGAATCTCCAGGGAACCTCTGTAGTCCCGCATTGTGCCTTTTTCCCTTTCTTAACCCAGATTATTTGGGTTCAAATCTTGTTTCTTCCACTAGGGGCCTCCAGTTGTGACTCCTTGGGCAAGGAACTTAGTCTCTCTATGCTTCAGTTTCTCATTCATAAAATAGGGATAATGGCACTTATCTCGTAAGACAGTGTGAAGATGAAATTAACTGAATCTTGTAAAATGCTGAAGCAGAGGCTGGTACAGAGTAAGGTAGCTCAACCCACATTAACATCTGTTAGGGTGAAGTGCTGGGGAGGTGTTGAGGTTACGGTCATGAGTTGAGGACTGGAATCTGTGGCCCACCAAGACTAGTGGGGTAAGGTGGACATTATTCCTTTACTTGCACAAAAATACATATTATAAAATATGTGATGCTCTGAAGGATGTTCAGGGTGCTCTGAAGGATGTTCAGGGTGCTATGAATAGTATAAATGCAGGAACCTCATTTGGATTTGCCTTGGGGGCTGGTCAGGAAGTCTTCCCAGGAGAGGTGACATTTGAGCTACAATGTGAAGACAGAGAGTAGGGTTTAACGAGGCCAGCAAGGAGGGCAGGAATCGTGTCTGCAAAGGCTCCAAAGTGAAGGACAGCATGATGGGAGAGCAGGGAGTTTGGGAGATGACTACTGATGAATGATATCTCGTGTGGGTATTATTCTCATTTTGTAGAGAGGGAAACTGAGGCTCAGGGGGTATCTACTCAGAGTTTCATTCCAGGGTGTTGCCTGGGTTCCATTATGGGGATTCTGATTCAGTTGGGAATCAGAATTGGGCTGTACACTCTAATGTGCAACTGGGGTGGGAACGGCTGCTCTTGGCTTGTTAGAAATGCAGGCTCTCAAACCTCAACCCACATCTAGTGAATTGGACAGAACCTGCATTTTAACGAGATCCCTGGGTGATGTGTGTGCACAATGAAGGGAGAAGCCCTGGTTTGCGCATAGACTCACCCAATGTTGGTCAAAAGAAGCAGTCAGTTTCTTCATTCTGTTCTCAGATATGTCAAACATAGGGCCCAGAAATCAGCATTTGTAAGAATGTAGTTCAGAAGCAGTTGATCTAAGACCAGATTTAAGAACATACTCTTGAGAATGTCAGAATGGGAGTTGGGATAGGAGTAAGGCCATGAGAAGGATGTGGACTTGAACTTAAACCTGAAAATGCTTCTGGCCTTATGAAGTCTGGGGCCTCCCTTCAGTGAATCCATTTGCAGAATTCAAATACTTTTTGATCATCTAAGCTTTAAATAAAACTTGGGAAAAGGGCAGTGTTCACATTAGGGATACTAATGGCCTATTAAATTTGAGGGTTGGTGAAAGTTGTTGAGGGTAGCAAGATTAGTGGTCTGGGTTCCTCTGGAATAGTTTTTATCAGCTCCTGAGACCAATTGTTTTATGTGGCTCAGAATAATAAAAAGACACTTATCCTGTCTGTCTTAATTTTCCAGATGGCCTCCAGGAAAATTTCCAAGCAGAAATCACATTTATTTAGTTCAAGAACCTACTGGGAAGATGATATAGTCATAGCAAATCCAAATTCTCATTGACTTTGAATTTAATGTTTTTCTGAATTACTGTCTCTCTAGGTTTTTAAAACTTTGTTTACTTTTTTCTTTTCATGACTCTTCTGAATTTCTGTGACTTTGATTTAACTTAATTGTCCCCTTGAACTGTGTAACTAATGAAATTAAAAGGTAATTTGATAATGACTGTTTTGAAAAATGCATGCTCTTTAAAGATGCAATTAATGTGGATTTAGTTTGATTTTTCTCCTCCCGGTTTCCCATAAACACAATAATATTGTGCTAA